TGCAGCTATGATGTCTGCAGAAGTTAGTGCCCCAGTTTGTTCCTTATAGCTCTTTACTCCAAGTCACCACCACCACCACTGTTACCTGGTAGTTGAGTTGTTCATAGAAGTGAGCCGTAACGTCAGATGGCCAAATTGAGCCAGATTAGCCAACATTTTTTCTTTTAGAATTTGAGACGACCTGATTCTTTTTGACTAGAAGGGATTAGGGAGCACATGGGAGGCTCACCAGCAGATATGAAGGATGGGGAGAAGTAGTGGTCACCAACTGGAGGTAATATCCCATTCATCTAGCATAACTACGGCTTGAAAAAAAGCCTGAATCTATTTCTTTGGAGCTTTCCACAGATTCAAGCATTTAAAACCATCCACTACTTTTTGCTTCACGTTATTTAGTTTGAAACAGTCTAGGATCATAAAATACAAAACTGAGGTAAATGTTCTGTAAGTTTTCAAGCATATGCATGCTATACTTGCTACATGGGACATACCAGCTTATCCAGACATATACCTCTATATCAACACAGGAAGTGTTTGGCAGCTGGCTGCCTATGCAGCAAGGTAGCAGGGCCTCCCACTACGGGCACACCTAAGTCAACTTGACAGCACTGTACCAAGAGGACATTAAAAGTAGGTGTGAAAGATTCATCAAATTTGGTCTTAGAACTGCACACTGAGAAGATCCTACATGCCAGGTACAAAGATAGATGATCTGTTTATAGAAAAGATGGATTTGCAAACTTAAATTTTGTGTAGATAGCTACGTTTCCCCCCATTTTAAGAGGATGTTCGTTACCGCAAAGAAGAGCCTTATAAAAACATTGGATTTTAAGAGACAGCAAAAATGGAAATATTATCCTTATAAAAAACTGGCATGAGATTTGCCTGCTGTGTGACTAATGGTGCCGTGTGAAGTATCAAATCAACCTCATATGGCAGCATTGCAAATCTTCTCTTTCTACCTCCAAAAGGCAAGAGGTAAACATACTGCAGTGCTATGGAAAAAATAACAAATGTATTCAATAATGGTTTGTTGGTCACACAGCAGATGTTGTGTACAACTGAACAACTGGTTTCTACCAAGAAGATCCAAAATTGTAGAGACAGTTATAAACAGATTTGAAAGCCGTATCTATTAAATCATTTAAAATTCAGTTGCTACTCCAAGGATCAAGAAGTCACTAGAGAGAAAGCTGAATTGGGCAAGTAAAAATGCCAAGTGTGGGCATAAGAAGCACGCTGTAAAACAAAGTACTGGCAACACCTGTATGAAACACCTTTTGCTCACTGAGAGTGCTGAGAAAACACAGAATAATCTCTCGGATTGACATTTCAGGTATGCACCAGTATTAATTTGTTTTCTACCTGAGTTTACTGTTGAAATGTAATACTGGCAAGTACCCACTCACATTTTCATACTTTTAGAGAAAAAGCCCAAGAACAACTGTGACCAGGTCTGCACCACAGAGAAGGCTGACTCTTGCAATCCAAGGTCACTTCCCTCCTCAGAAACAGAGCTAGAGAGTGCTTGTGACTGACACGGGGGAGAAATGGCAGCACAAACTTCACATTTTACATTAAAATCTCTCTAGCACTCACCAAAAATCTAGGGAAATAGTGGATGAAAGGAACACTTCACAGAATTCTGGGGGGTATTTTTGCTACAGAGAGTGTGCCTGAGTTATAAGTATTAATCCTTTCCTCCTAAACAGCATTATCAATTAGGTTGGGACAATGAGGCAATAACCTACGCGATCCTTGGTTACCTTTACAAATCTCAGCCTTTGGTGCCAACACACACGGGCTGTAGGACAAATGTAACTTTTCTGAAACAATCAAGTTACAGGATTCCTCTTCTAATTTAAAATCTGTATTGAAATTACTGATGTTTTCAGTTTAGACTTTACGCAGCTGCAACTCAGAACTAATTTTTGTACAACACATAGTTTGTCTTAAAATGGGACTAGAAGAACAAGTCCTGGCCATCTTCAAGCTATAGAAAGTCAGAGTAATATGGTATCAGTATAGCTCTGTGAATAGAAATGGGAATCTATCTGTGGAAGGTACCTGTGGTCCTAATGGAACCATTCCTCTTGGAGGAGTCATTCTCTGCATTGGCCCACCCATGTTTGGATGCCCTGCAAATAAAATTATGTAACTTTAAAAGCTATGCAATACACAAGGCACCTTCTGAAAAAATTAGAACAAATCCCTCCTTTTTAATTAACAAAAAACTTAAAAGCTGCAGTAAATTTTTGAAACACAGAAAGATGCAATGAGAAGACAGTACTTTTGAGTGGTCAAAGTTACTATTTCATTCACCTTGCTGCCGTGTTGGGTCCATCCCACTAGGCAATAATGGCTGACTTCCTGGGACACCTCCGAGTGCCTGCAGGCATAGAATCCATACATTAAAAGCATGTAATGCTTTGAAATTTATGTTAAAGACATAAATCAGATACATTGTTTTTAATTCCCAGATGCTTCTTCTGAGTCAAGAATAACGTTTTAAGAGTTAACATTCCTAAATGCCCTAACTGTCCTATGTGCATAACTAAAATAAAAGTCCTGTATGTCCTTTGACCATGACTATGGATTTGCATGGACAAACTTTTGGACTTCTGTGGGTGTTACGAACAAATAATCTCCAAAATGTAATTGACTTATTTGTTCCCACCCCCTCAATACTTCCTTCAGTTTAGCTTATCTATTATTTAACCTCCAAAGACTGCCTCTTTATGGGGTACATGGCAATTTATCCAGTGCTTATATTGCTATGGTTTTCCCTTCTAGCCATTATTTCAATTTAAGGATAATTTAGTTTTCATTTAATTATTTCATTTCAGAGGTCAGGATGTGGACACCGTTATTCTTGGAGAGTGAGCTGTAACTGAACCAAACGCACAGCACTCATAGGGTACTGTTAATTAGGGCTGTGATGTGGGGGACATTTTATCTTCCTCTCTGCCTTACTCTTGAAGGGCATCAATGCCATGATATAAGCTTATCATTCATCTGTGGGCGATAGCAGCACTCGCAAAACTCGTTCCTCAATCCTGCCTTCAGGCATGAAGGTACATTGTGTTGTTACTTCACCCCTGGTCCAAATCAAACACATTGCTTTTACGTCCCAAAAGTTTAATCTGGCCTTTGGTTTTATAGTCAGAGTATCAGGTTTAAGGGTAATTTCCACAGCCTCTTACCTATAGTTTAGTCAACTAGAAAAATGTTTTTATGAATGGATCTTTGCAGCTGATCTACTGGATGCTAATTAGCATTTCATAACAACATATTTTCAGTTAAATCGCATCCAGAATAAGAAAATCTGTTATTATGAAAGTAATCTACTCAGGCAATACAGGTATTGCTTACAGTGGGAATGGGTAAGTTACTCTTGACCTGGAAATACCACAGTAGTCTTGGATATATACAAAGGGGAATCTATGCGCAAATATCATCCAGTTTGTTTCCATAAGAGGTAGGAAATAAAAAATTAAGATGCATGTTATTACCTCAAAGGTAATGCAGTCCAAAGGTACCGCACTGCCAGATTAGTGGAATAAACAATCTGAGACAACATAATTTAAATCAGGGTTTTACATGTGTTGCAGTGGCTGAAGTCTGGGCAGTATGTAAGAACAATACATGAGGTGCACGGGGAAGCGTCGAAGACCAACAGAGCCGGAACCGGTCCCTTCTGCCAGAGATGGCAGGTGCTGCGGTAAGCGCACGCAGCTGAAGACAACTTATGCGGTCACTACACTGCGGGTCATTACATGGGGGACTGCAGTTCCTTCCTAACACGTCATACCACTTTTCAAGAAAAACGTGTGCACCACAGTGCGCTGACAACAGCAAATACCCTTGTAGGGCTTGATTACAGCGGATGTGATCGAGTACTGGAGGCAACTTGGAGACACGACGGTGGTGCTCAGTCAGTACTAACTTTCCTTGCCACAAAGCCTAGATCTAGCTCAGGTGGTCACTGCACAGCACTGGACTGTGCTGGGCGCGTATGCCCTGTGTTACCCTTTCTTGCCTAAGAAACACAATCCCTACTGTAAGGCATTAAGGTATAGAGTTATAGTTACAGTGGGAATTTTAACTCTGATTTTTACAGCGTTAAAATTTCAGCCTTAAAGCTGCACTACAATAGTTTATTACTTCCACACACTGCCCATCTATACTTTAACTTAAATAAGTCAGCGTTGTTAAAAGCAGTAATTCATGAATGTGGCATAATTTAAACGAATTGCAAGAGCTGTAATTCACTGAGATTATGTGATTATGTTACAGCTCTGAACTGAATATACCACAATGTGCAGAAAAAAACGCTCCTGAAACTGAAACTGCAGGTTGGCAGTGCTTTCACAGCACTCACCACATCCAGTTGCTACCTGCCGGTATTTACAGTGTCCAGAAACACAGAAAGAGAAACAAAGGAATATGTGAAACCCAAACACTGGTGTGTCTTTGGCTAAGGTATTGCCAAAAGGTGCAAAATTCAGGAAGATAATTTTGTACTGAGTTACAGTACGTCTGTAGCAAGTATCTTAACTGAAGTGCTAATGACACTGCACTCTTAGGTTGTCCCGTGATGATCTCTTCAGCAAGGTTAATTAAGTCACCCATTTCCCTTGTGACAAAGTAGCTATGGTGCAGATAACGTAACCTGCTCACAAACATCCCCATGTGTGATGTAGAGGAATCTCTGAAGAAGCCTTGCCATCTGATATATCCAGCTCACTTTAAGTTAAACCTCACTCTGGCAATATTGTGCCAGTGCTAAAGACAAGTTTGTTGACATTGTGTTATTCAGATATAAGAAACAGCCAGAATTGAGATTGAGGTATGAAAGTCTCATCAAGATGTGACAGCAAAAAAGGCAGTCCTACAAGTGTAAGCTGGGCCAAAAACCCCATCTATCCTATCAATCTTTCCCAATATTGTAAATGATCCCATTTTTCTTTCAGAGCTCCACTGATATTTTTCTGTCTGCTTATCTTTCACATTTCATCTGCTGACAACTGATATCTCCTCCTCTACTGCTACTATGGAGAACTTAAATACAAATGGTATCTGTTTCCAGAACCATCTTTTCACAGATGGGCCAATAAAGGTCTTTGCTGACAACCAGCAGCTCATTACTCATTCTGTTAAACTGTCATGCATATCCTTTGATGAAGATGAGAAAAAATTGGGAAATCAATGCTCTTATAAAGTTCTCAGAGTGTCTGTAAGAGCCACAGGGCACTTCATGATATCTGTTTCTCACCAATAATCTCCATATTTACTATGAAGTATATACATACTTCACATATCCAACGAAGAATAGGAGAAAGTGATGCATTTTACTTACGTAAAAAAACTGTCAGAGTTAACTGCTTGATTTGGTGAGGAAACTTCAGAGTGTAACAGGTATGGGGACATTCTGCCTTCACCTTAGAGTAGGCAGCGTTGGATGGCTAAGGTTAATGCAGCTCCACACCAGGCAACTACATCCTCCCTCTGCAAACAGGCTTAATGTGCAATAAATTTTGAGGGGTAGACACTATTTAAGCATAGGAAAGTGATTTGAGAGTGGTATGGCCACACCTTATCAAAAGAACTATTTAATGGTCAGACAAAATAGGGTGAAGAGGGACTGACTGAGTTTTGTAGCAATGAGGTATTGGTCACCAACGAGACAACATTCCCTGTTCCCACCATTGCACCATCACCCTGGAGCACAATGGTGCTAATGGTGATAAAATCTTACCTGATTGGGTATTCTTAAAGGTGGCCGGGGACCTCCGGGGTACCGAGGGGACATGAAAGGCTATGAAAAAAAAAGAAATACCACTAAATAATTCAACTTAACTTGTATATACCGCACTGAGTCATTGGGTGTATGGCTTGTGCCCTGCTCGTGCCTCAAGCATCCGGCTTAAAGACTTCCTCAGAGCATTCAGTATATTATTCCACAGTGTTTAGCAGAACTAAATACATTTAGGGATTCTTAGTGAATCAAGACATATTATTTAAAGCTTTGTTTCAGCAACTGTGAATGCTGTATATAAACACCTTAAGGTATTAACAGTGAAGAATAAAAAAGCATTTAGATCATATAATCATACACCTATACTTTCCACTGGAGAAGGGGAAAGATAGAAACCCTGGAGTAGGAAACAAAAATGTTCTTGCGAGAGGTAAGTAACAGCATAATAATTCACAAATATTTTCCATTCACTTTTTCATAATAATAATAAAGTAAAATGCAATGCAGACTTAACCTGTGAGAGAACAGATTTCAAGTTCATGTTGTAAATATTTAGAGCTTTGGTGGTTCCATTACCCATATTAATTCAATGCTGAACTCCACCCATCCCTGCATATTTAACTCCATGCTCACACAGTAAATCTCCTCTCTCAAAACCAAATTTAGCCCCAAATTTGTCATAACATCCTGCACCTTGCAAGGTTCTAGTGGCTCTTAGCTACTATTTTACTACTTCACAGACCACAAACAAGGTCAGCCCCTTATGATATATATGGTGATACCAGCAAATACATTTAACATCTCTACTTATTCCATCCCAAAGTATGACAGTAATCTAGAAATCTAAAAATCCAAGAGATTAGTGGCAAGTATGAGATCGACAAGAAAAAGGCACAAACATCTGACTAAACAGATGATGAAGAGGATCATTTTGGCAAGCAAGTACACCTATCACTTCAAAAGAAAACTAAGAACTAAAAGTATGCTCTGACTGTGAAGACCGATGCTTTATATCGTGAAAGAGGAGCCCACTTCTGTTCATGACACTGCCACTGGAGACGAGGGAGAGATAAAGGAAAGGATTCTTCTGGGACTTCACAGGGGCAAGCTCTGATGACAAATGAGCTGTTGCACATTTAAACCCACTCCTCGGAGTCTTTTCAAAAAGAAACAAACATACCTACACAGGCATCATCTAGCCAGCAGTAGCTACAGACCTCTGGCAAGTCACTAAAACTCTATCATCAACGTCACTGTTTCACAGATGAATGGCACACATTTTAGCTCCATCAGCAGCACTGTGTTACAAACTAAATGCCAGGGATTATCAATGCTAGAAATGCATGTATCAATAGTAGCAATAGCTAGCAAAAAGATAATAATTATTTTACCAATAATTAGTAATAGAATTTTTCTGATAATCTTGCATTAAAAAAATCAATGCAAACTTTCACATCTTAGAATCAGATGAAAGCAATACCATGTTACCTACATAAACACACATTCAAAAGAGCTACTAGATAGCAATTTAAAATGCAGAGGGTTTACAAACTGGAGAAGAAAGTTCAATGAGAACTGTGAGAATATTACTGTAATAAAAAAGGCATTTGAAATTGTGTGCTATAGAGGAGGGAGGCTTCTTCTTGCCCTCCCTCTGATGGTGATATTCCCTGGTAAGAAAGAAAGAAAAAAGGACTGTGCATGGGGTGAAGGCTGTAAACATGCAGGCCCTTGTAAAGCAGTAAAAGTGTGAGGAAATTAGAATTTCAACCATTTCCACAAAGGTCAACCAAGTGCATTGTATGGAGTGCAGCACACTCTAGTGAGTATCTTGGATTTGGCTTACCTCATTCAACAAACGAAACCTTAACCTTATTTACAGGGGTAGAGCTCACAAAAGGGAAACCAGCAGCATCTCTCAAGCCCACCACATCTTAATGTAGAATCACTCTACTAATACTGGTATATAATTAGTATATCATAGTGCATTATTGTCAGGACATCTGCTTCTTTCAAGCAGGATGGAAACCATCTCTTCCCAGTGGCTTCACCTCCAGTTTACACAAATACCTAAAACCTGATTTTTCATACTGAAATTAAATTTTATTTAAAAAGCTGAAACAAATACCCCTCTGCATTAAGGAGAGAAAGAGCCTTCCACACATAAAGTCACAATTTCACTTTTTAGAATACGACTCACATTGTTTCTAATGCCTGACAATTGAAGTCTCTATTTTCTGGTTTGCTGTGCTCCTGAGGTCGGTAGGTCCTTCAGATGTTTCAGGAGGTCTGGATCTAGGTAGCTCTCAAATCTACTTACTAAAAGACTCACAGAGAAAGTCTAGGATTCTTTTCTGAAACGGTATATAAGTCATGAATTTATGGGAGGTTTGTTTAGGCATTGTTTCCTAAGCAGGCATCAAAGCAGACTTTGAAACCCAGTGGATCTATTGTTAACTGACTTCTTAGTTTATTGTGTGGAATAACTACCAGAGCCTCTGCCTTACAAGGTTTGTATACTGTAAATATTTATGTATCTATGTATTCTCCTTAAACATATTTGTGGAAGTGCTTAAACCTTCTCTTACTTATGAAGTACAACAAGGCCAAGGGCA